GAGCGGGCCAGTGTCGGTGGAGAGCTTGGCCAGCGTGTCGACCGGAGTGGAGATGGGCTTGCAGTTGAGCATGCCGGCACGGTCGAGGATCTCTAGGGCGTACTGTTCCTGGGAAAGGAACAAGCCACGCGCAGTGGTGGTGACGTTGATGCCGAGGAAGTTGTGGAGCGCGCCGAGGTCGGTCATAGAGAACTCGCGGTGAAGAGCCTGGATGACGGAGTCGAGCACCGCGCCCGAGCTGGCGGTGAGGATGATGTCGTCGACGTAGAGGAGCAGGTAGGCGAGGTGAGCACCACGCCGAAGGACGAAGAGCGACGAGTCCGCCCGCGATGCGACGAAGCCAAGGCTCCGCAGGTACGTCGTGAACCTGGTGAACCACGCCCGAGGCGCCTGCTTGAGACCGTAGAGAGAACGGTTCAGCCGGCACACATGCGAGGGCGAGGTGGCGTCGACGAAGCCGGAAGGCTGGTGGCTGTAGACCGTCTCCGCAAGATGGCCGTGGAGGAAGGCGTTCTTGACGTCCAGCTGATGTATGGGCCACGACTTGCCGGCGGCGAGGCTCAGGACAGTCCGGACGTCGGCCGGTTTGACCACCGGACTGAACGTCTCGTCGTAGTCGACACCGGCCCGTTGCGTGAAGCCGCGAAGCACCCACCGCGCCTTGTACCGGGCGAGAGTGCCGTCCGGATGAAACTTGTGCTGGAAAATCCACTTCCCTGTAACGACGTTGGCACCTGCAGGACGAGACACTAAACACCAAGTATTATTCTGCATCAGTGCGTTATACTCCTCTAGCATCGCAGCATACCAGTTGGGGTCTCGAAGGGCAGCGCGATAGGAAGAGGGGATAGGACTGATGGAAGGCGTCGAGGCGTGAAGTGCTTTTGGTTGTGCAAAGCCGGACTTGCTACGGGTGCGCATGCCGTGTAGATTAGCCGGTGGTGTAACCGGGACAGCGCGTGGTGGTAGAGGGGTTGCATGGACTGGAGTGGCTGGGACAGTTGGCGCGCGTGTACTGGTTGCATGGGAGCTATCTGAGGCGGCAGGTGGTGGAGAGGTGGGGCTGCATGCAGGGGGAGGGGAGCAAGGCGC